AATCTATCGAAGTCAATTAATAATAGGCATCTTGCCATAGCAAGATGGATCAGTAAATTATATATTTCATATTAAGATACCTTGAATTTCGTTTGAAGCTTCGAGATTACCTTAAGTACTGTTGTAATCTCTTAACTCAAACGAATTTTTTTAGTTTGAAAAAATGGCGAATAAGTTATATGACAGCATTTTTTTACAAGTTATGATAAACCCTAATTTGTTAATTTAGTTGATGAACAGAGAATATAAAAGAGAGAATTGTATGTTAGCTTTGATGTATAGTAGATGTACACCAACATTCCTGCAAACAGAGCTCCTCAAGCTCTAGAATTAACTTTAGACCAAGACACGGATATTATAAAAAATAAAAATTTATGTAAAGGGTCAATAATGAATTTGACGAATTTAATGATGAATTGTACATATTTAATTTTTAATGGTAAACTAAGCGAAAAATACCAAGCTTAACTATGAGATCATGCTTGTTACCAATTTTAGCAAATAACTATATGGCTCAATTAGAAAGTCGCCAAATACATGAAACACTTTTAGTTCCTAAATTATTGTTTAGGCACATGGATGACAACTTTACCGTATGTCAACATGGCAAAGAAAGTCTAAGAGAATTCCTAACGTTGATGAATGGAATCGACAAGAATATCAAGTTTACTACACAACTATAAAAGGATAGTAGTTTTCTTTTACTAAATGCCCTAGTTAGCATAGAGGGAAACAAACTATGTAAGAATGTGTATGGGAAACCCACAAATTTGTGGCTCCGTCTGACTTTCTTTCTAAGCCATACTAATGGGGTTAAGGTAGGAGTTATGAAATCCAAGATAATAAGGAGCCTGCGTAATGCAGATGTTAACCACCGAGAGCGAAAACTGAGGCGATTAAAAAAAATCTTGGTTCATAATTATCATCCATTCGGATTAATTGAGAATCGCTTCAAACTACTATCGAATAGGATGAAGGCAAATATCTATTTAGAGCAAGATAGTCAGCTGGACCACTTGATTAAGATGATGATGATATCGCCTTGTGAGCTTTAGAAAAAGATAGGTGGACTACTATAGATTTGGGATATGAGGACAATTTATGAAAAGAAAATAATACTTATATGAGTAATTACGTCATTTTGTAAAATTTCAGACCCACGTTCCAGATCGGGGGGCTATAAGGTTTTTTGCTTATGCGGTAGATTCTATTTGATGTAGGCCTGCCGACCTATATATAAGAAGTTATATGAACACAAAACGTCCTGCAAAGTTTTGTGGTTACAAAAGCCAAAACTGGAAGAACATATAGCTCACACAGGACATTGGATAGACGGGTCTAATGTCAAGCACTTTGCGGGATATGGAAACTATTTCCATAAACGTAAAATTATGGAATCTAGAGATATCAACCAAACAGTCAACTTCACGAATAGAAGTAGAGTGTAGGAATCTAAGTGGAAACTACCTGTGGCTGTTGGATAGGATTAGAAAGAGAGAGATAGAGGAAGCAAGAAGTACCATCGAGCAAGTGGAGGAGGCTTTATTAGCCTCAAATCTAGTTTTTATCTTCAATCTTCATGCCTCTCATGAGCATTGATACACACAACCATCATGAAAGGGAACTCAATCACATGAAACACAATTACAGTATCAAAGATAAAACGGATAATTGCTGTATGGAAGGATACAGTTGTTCGGACAAAACTACCTCCATTTCCTGGTTCAATCATCCGCAGCCACTTCACTCCTCAACAGCATGTATGAAAAGCATAGGATCTCCAAAAAATCATGATATGTCTTACTAAGTAGGCATATCCAAACTATATGAAGTAGATAGGATTGCAGCCAGCCACCTTTCTTTCCATTGTGTCTGATAAATTGTCGTAAAGCATAGTGATTTCCTCTGACGATGTCTGTCACATGACGGACGAAATCTCAGCAAGGATTCATTTGGTCGCAGGGCGGTGCACCGAGGACCTATTCGCACAAATTGCCAATCAGAACTCAAAGGCAATGCCCCTAATAACAACATCAAGAACGTTTCCTTTGTTACCTAAGAAAAAATTTAATCCATTTTATAGGAGATTTCTGTTTTCAGAATCAAGGATGCCTTGAATACAGAACCATCAAAACTCGCCCGTTGGCTTGATCCTGCGTTGCCTTATTATCCCATATCTAAGCAATATCTTATCATGTCGCTTATTTATTTAATCCCGAACTTTTCCTGATTTCTCTAGGTCACAAATCTTAACTCAAATTTTATGAAAATCCGATCAGGAATCAGGACGACCAAAAGCGAATATCCCTGCCTTTATGTGAACTGAGCCAAAGATTGCCACAGTTGCTAAGAAAATGGAATATCAAGATGACAAAGAAGATAACACTTTTCACCAGACTGCCGACGCAACACGAGAAGACCGACAAGCTGGATTTCTTGGGAGTATATCGCATAAAATGCGGTATCTGTAGCATTATGTTGGTGAAACAGGAATAAAACATGGATACGGTAAGATCCCAAGTAGCGTAACACATTGCACAGACTGGAAACTAAATCGGCAGAAAGGCTGGTTGCATATGGTGGAAATAT